CACATAATTCACTTAACTGACTGCACCGATTCACTTAACATCTATGGCAAAAGTTCGTAAAATTGGGTTTGACTCACATAGCATTCATCTTGCCTAGTAACCAAAATTCTGGTATTAAGAGTGGTCGACTTGTATGCCTTTTGTTGGGACCCAAGACTGCAAATGTTGTTAATAAAGGTAAAGGTTTACTTTTATATGGTTAGTCACTACCGACTCTAGGAGGCGGTGCTCATCTCCGTTTCAAAACCGAAGACCCAGCGCTTTCTAAAGACGTCTCTACGGTCATGTGTCTGGCATGACTAAATGCCAAAGACACATGGAACGCTGTTGCCATCACACCAAGGTGGTCCCTATTTTTCTACTTGCATTTTTACAAGCTTTCGGACTGCTAGGTTGGCAAAATCTGGGACAAGTAATGGGAGCTCACTCTGTTATGCAGCGCTAGGGATTCGAACAGTCAAACTGCCTACCTTTCTGATCGACAAGCTCAGTGTCTTGGCCACTGAGCCACCGCGTCCCTTCGTTGTTAATATAGGGGTGCATTTTTCTGTGAAGTCCCAGTTACGTTCCTTCATTCTCATAATTAAAACTACCAGTTGGATCTTGAATCTTTCTCCCCACTGAGATTGTAGTGCAGGTGGTTTTTGGTAGTGCTAAAGCAGAAGACAATTCCTGGATCGGAACTTTGTTTAAGAGGTTTGTTGAGCGTATTATCTCTGCTTATTTAGGAAGATGGCATTCAGGGGGAATGCCTTTCTATTGTCACGGAACAATCCCACACATTTCATGTGCTTGATAGGTAGGAACTATAAAGGTACGCTTTCTGAGTGTTATGGTGCAGGCAACTTTGCAATGACCGTGTATGTCTTAAGAAAGAAAAGGGATTCACCTAGGTTTCTCAGCAAGATGAAGTTTGGACAGTTCCACACAAAGACTTAAGCTGCTTGTCTCAACTATATTTGAAATCAGCATTAAAAACTCCAGGTTGATTGCAGTGGGTTGGTAAGTTGGCAGTTGGGCTGGATTGATGCTCAGTTTTCATTATGGCTTCTCCTGTCCTTGACTGGTGGTTCCCCTGCTGCTTGCCATTTTCATCCATGCAGGAAAAGCAAATCTTACATGCTGGAATCTCTGTGGATGTGAATGTCTACTTTTCCTTTTCAGTATTGTTCCCTCCTTATTAGTCCCCATTTTTTCCTTTGCTCTTCCGTTTGCACACTCCTTGGAGGGGCATCTTCTAATCTCCCCCTTCCTGGGTTCAATAAAAGTCTTGGTCAGTCTGCACTAACCAACCTGCTCCTTCCTCAGTCTTCTGGGTTTGATGCCCATTCAACATCTCTCTAACCTCCTGAATATCAGGTTTCAGCTGGATTATCTTCTTCCTCACAAGATGAACAAATTGATCAGCCTTTTTAACTCAGAAAGCAAAAGGACAAACCCAGGACCATCAAAGAAAATACAGATGCTGCTCCTCCAGCTCTCAACCCTGATATACAGCAGAAGATTCTGACATGGAATTGGAAATTAAGCCATGGGAATCACAGTGTCAGTGTAGGGAGTATCAGAAGATCATCAGGCAAAGGATTTTGGCCAATTTCAGATGAAGGCAATTGAAGGCAGCTGCTTTGCAAACATAACCTCATAAATTAGGGTTGTTTAGCTTCAACTGAGCATGAGGCATTTAAGGGCTCCTTAAAAAGGAGATATAGTGATAACCTATAGCTATGATTTATGTGTACTCCTCACTCTTGTATTAGTTTGAACAACTTGGATGGACTCCCTCTAGGAAACCAACTATGGTATTTGACCATTACGGTTGGAATAGACATTTTGCATCTCAGACTGACTCAGGCACAATATGATCTCTTGTGACTCCGTTGAAAAACTAAACCTGATTTATAGCTTGACCAGCATATATCACTCTCAATGCATTTCCTAGTTTATGACCGATTCATTAATTTTCTTCTGGAATCCAGTTTACCAGATCTTGCCAAAAGTTTAATCTTTCCCCTTTTTACATTTTTAAATAAGCCAGCATGTTGTGTGATCACATCAGAGNCGGTTGTTAAGTAAATCATTCAGACATAAGTCAAATTCAGCTTATTTAATGGACGTCTTTTGCCAAAATAAAAATATTTTTTTGCCAGAAATACGATCATTCGACCATAGAACGCTGCAACTGGTCAGAATATGCAAGCCAGTCACCAGGTGTTTTGAGATGTGATCACATGACTGCCGGATGGATGATGTGGCAGTTGTAACTTTGAAGACAGGTTATAAGTAACTTTTCTGAGTTTGCTGTGTAATAACGTGAAATGGTTGTTAAATCACCAGTTGTAAGTTGATGACTACTTGTATTGCACATTTTATGCTAGATTGGAGCAAGACTATCCAGTTGTTGATTAATCTGTTTCATATGAAAATCTCATTATTTATCCAGTTGATTGCGGTAGACAGTGAGAGTCTAACAGAATACATGTCATGTAGCCCATAATAATTCTGTTGCACCAGTTATGAAACAGGGACTTCCAGGAGGGGAAGGAAACCAAAATAATTCATGATTGTAGTCATGATCGCTTAAACAAAGTCCTTCACCTTTTGTAACCTCTTGCATGCACAAGCTCATAAAATGGGTGGCATTGAATATATAGTTGCAGATGTTCTTTGGACAGTTTGACCACACACAAGCTCTGTACAGGCTGCAGGGTTGAGAAGAAACAAAACAGGACATTGATGGAAAGCCAAAAAGGTCTTAGATAAAGACCTTCATCAACCATTTTTGGGAAGTGGCAGTGATTATGTGGATGAACTCTAGTGGAATGGTACTGTAAAATATTATTTTTAAAATAAAAAATAACAAACCAGTCAGGACATTTCAGAACAACATCACACTATTTTTCTTCATCTTCAGTTCTTCAGCCAGGTTTTCATTCATTTGTCCAATATCTGAATGTATGTTTAAAAGATTGAATTTGACATGTTTAAAAATGTGAGGATGGCTTTATTTGGAAATCTTTGGGACAGTTTGTTTACTTTCTGGTTTCTTCTATGATTATACTGTCTAAATGATAATAGATTCTCATTTCTATAAAGATGGTTTAGCTGATTACAGATAGTTCTTGACTTACAACCATTTGTTTAGTGACCAAAGTTACGAAGGCATTCAAAAAAAGCGAATTACAACCGTTCCTTGCATGTATGACAGTCACAGTGTCTGCACAATCATGTATCAAAATTTGGTCACTTGGCAATCTGTTTTTGATAGTTGCAGCATCCTGGAATCATGTGATCACCATTGGCGACATTCCCAGCTGGCTTCTAACAAGCAAAGTCAATGGGGGAAGCCAGATTCATTTAACAACCACATAATTCACTTAACTGACTGCACCGATTCACTTACCATCTATGGCAAAAGTTCGTAAAATTGGGTTTGACTCACATAGCATTCATCTTGCCTAGTAACCAAAATTCTGGTATTAAGAGTGGTCGACTTGTATGCCTTTTGTTGGGACCCAAGACTGCAAATGTTGTTAATAAAGGTAAAGGTTTACTTTTATAT